TGCATAAGTCCATGGCAGCGTAAGGGTTTCCAGACAATGTGGTGATTCGTCCAGCCTAACAGGGTCAAATACAATAGAGTGTCTTTTTTTGCACATGAAAATAACAGATCAGAGGCATAACTAGAAACCACCAACCCCCAGTGTGAAAATTGCCCTTGGGCATGCATATCATTTCCCCCCAACCCTCTCCATGTGTCTCATTCTCCCTTCCCAGCCCATCCATGTGTTTCATTCCCTCCCCCCAAACCCCTTCACGTGTCCTATTCCATCCCCCAAGCCCTCCATGTGCTGCATTCCCTCCCCCAGTCCCTCTATTTTTCATCCTGCCCCCAGCCCCTCCGCATGTCTTATCCTCCCCACAGCCCATCCATATATCTCATCCCCACCACCCATTCATGTGTCTCATTACCACCCCCCAGCATATCCATGTGCTGCGGCTGTGCACTGGCCTTGAAGTTATGCCGGCCCAATGTTGCAGAGGCATACAGGCCGGCCAGGCCCCCTGTAGTGACGGGTCCGCTCCGACCACTGTGTCTGTGGTAGTAACACCACTAATCAAAGTGTTAAATGTTAATCAGAAGGAGCAAATAATTTAAATAGATCTGGCAAATGGAGACTAATAAAGTTGTAGGGTGTAAGAACATATCTCTCTGCAACCGTATGATCTGCCCAGTATGCGAGAACATTCACATAGATCTGCGCATGCCTCAGAGATGCAGTGTTTGCTACTAACTCCACTGCTACAAGGACAACTGGTGTGTACTATGTACCCCATGACGACTTCAAACGTAAGACTCATGTTGACTTAAAGCTTTAGCAGGGTTACAGTTTTGGTAATAGGCATAGGCGTGCGCAGCCTATTGCATTAGGGTGTGCACCCTAAAGCACAAACACACGCCACGCGCGTGTGTGTGTATATATCTATCTATATATATATATACACACACACACTGCTGTGTGTGCTGTTATTGTGATGTGTGTGTGAGGGTGCGTGTTTGTGACTGTGCTGTTTGTGTGTGTATGTTTGTCCTGTGAGGGTGCTGTTTGTGAGGGTGCTGTTAGTGTGCTGTGTGTGAGGGTGTTGTGTTTTTTTTAAAGGTGCTGTGTGTGTTTGGGAGGGTGCGGTTAGTGTACTGTGTGTGTGTGAGCTGTATGTGTGTAGGTGCTGTATGTGTGTGTGCTGTATGTTTGGAGGGATTTGGCAGATTAGTAAATCCTTGCTCCCATGTGCCATCCCTGGTGGTCTAGTGGAGAGTGAACTCTAGCCTGCGAGGCTAGAGTTAACTCTCGCGAGATCTGAGCGTTGCCGCAGCAACGCTCAGATATCGCGAGAGGAACCTGGCGGAGCTTCTGTCTAGAGCTGCCTGGGTCCTCTACTGCCTCCCTCCATGCTGCTGTGGGCCGGTGAGGTAGATCTTTGGTCTCCCCGCCGGCCCACGAAGGCTTAGAGCAGAGCCGGCACTCAGATAGCGCCGGCTCTGCGTGTGTGTGTGTATATATATATATATATATACGTACACACACACACACACACACACACATACATACATACTCACAGACACACACACACTCACACTGACACACACACATACTCAGACACACACACTGACACACACACATACTCACAGACACACACTCACAGACACACACACTGACACACACACACACATACTCACAGACACACACACACACACTCACAGACACACACACACAGACACACACACACATACTCACAGACACACACATACTCACAGACACTCACACACACACACTGACACACACACACTGACACACACACACACATACACAAATTATTATATTTTAATTTTTAAAAAAAATGTCCACCCAGCCTCCTACCTGGAGTGCTGGTGGACTTGTCCCTGGGGTCCAGTGGGGGCAGGCGCCTTTCTCCAGGGAGCTCTCTGCTGTCTGCTCTCTACTCCCTCTCGCCGCGCGGGCTGTCTGCTGGAGCTGGGAGCCGGAATATGACGTCATATTCCGGCTCCCGGCATCAGCGCGAGGCGAGAGGGAGCAGAGAGCAGACAGCAGAGAGCTCCCTCGCCGCGCGCTGAACGGGTGGGGAATCCATCACCTCTTGCCCCTCCCCCATGACAGGGGCAAGAGGTGAAACAGGGCCTGAGTGCCTGCAGGAACGCTGTTCCTGCAGGACTCAAACCATAGGGCGCAAGTTACGGGATTAGGGTGTGCCCAAAAGTATTTTTCTTATATGCGTTTTTCAGGAGCCAAAAGTGTGCTTTTACATATCAAATTATTGGCTTATATAATCTCACGCATTTAATTTTAAAAAAAATAAAAAAATATGATGAAAAATTGAAAAAAATACATGTTTTGATCTCTTTTACTTGAAAAAATCTTTTTACTCATTGTGACGGCGCTCCTTTCGCCATTTGGTCCTGGAGAGGCCTACTTGCCAGCCTCCTCCCCTGTGACTATGACTCTTTCATCTATCTGGCTTTAAAGCCCCTAGTCTACCTTCAGACAGACTATTTATGTGGGCTGCTTTATTTATCCTATGTTTTAGTCACCCTGTACCTATTATAGGTGCAGGGTGTGTGTAATGTAATTGTTTATAGTGTGTGTGTGTGTGTGTGTGTGTACTGTGTAATGTATTGCCTGCTCTCTTGTATTGCTGAGGTTTGCTACCAACTAGGTGGGTTTGGCTATGGAGCTGGTCTAGTGCCCTCTGTTGGTAGCAACAGCAATATGCACTACCTGAATTGCAAGACTGGTAATTTGCATATTCGGGTAGATTTGCATATTGCTAATTCTGCAGGCAGGTGAGATATTTACTGTTAAATATTGTCTTCCCCCACCCTTTTAAAAATGTGCCATTGTGTTGTGATAAGTCACTGTGTGTTTCTTGATATGGTTTGACTGTTTGTGATTTTATTGAGGTTTCACAACAATGCTATTGTGGTGACTGTATTGGCTGGTCCCAAGGGAATAAAGGTTTTGACAGTTCTTCTTGATCCCTCTAAACGTAGCCTTGTCTCGTTATTGGAGGGAGCTGCTATAATCACACTGGGGATTGCTATGCTCTGCATGCTCCCCTGAGCTTGAGTCACTTAGCTCTTTTAAGAGCTTGTTCCTGACACGCTCTCCTTGGAGGAGGGGTCTTCACCACACAGTCCTGAATGCTGGAGGTTCATACAGGGTGGAAGGAAGAGTTCTTTCCCACACA